TATCTTGTATAAAGACACTTTCGGCTTGCATGTCGAATATATAAAGAAGTCCCTATAAAAGCACAAGAGGTTGACCTTTATAAAAACCGCACTGTTGTCTACCTACTATAGGTCTTTTCTACTTCTCCAGTGTCCAAACTTGACTTTTCTTTTGTAAGAAATTTTGGTCCAAGTGATTGTCAGAAAGAGTGTATATAATAATAAATACTTTATTCACTATTTAATTTATCTTATATTTATTATATAAACTTTTATTTACAAGTAGTAATTCGAAATAAATCGACTTTTAACAAAAAAATAACATAATAAAAAAATTAGTCTATTCGAATTATTTTTAATTATTGCAAATAAATAATCGTTAAGTTAATAATAATTACAAATTTTCAATAAAAAAAATTAATTCAGTTTATGAAAGTGTTATAAATAAATTAAAACTTTTTGGAATTAATTTGAATCAATTCGAAATAAATAAAAATCTTTTAATACATAAGTATATAAATTATTCATATTTGTTTAATTTTATATTTAATAAATTCAAATACATTCGAATTATTTTAAATTAAATCGAATTAGTTCGATTTGTTTTTATTTATTTTGAATTTTACTTAAATTATGTATTTTTAGCTTTTGCAAAAAATTAGATCTTTGCGTAGTATATTGATGAATAAGATAAAGAATAATTTATTTATTGTATTTGGGAGTCTTATTGATCAGATATATAATAAAGCAAAGCCCAATGAAGTTATAGCCTAGAAGAATTCATAAAAAACAAAAGACTATTATAAGAAGTTATTCGAAGATTTGAAAGATGATTCGGGAGATACATATATGACTCGAATATTGTCTAAACTCTAGCCAAATGGCAAAACTTCTCAAGAAAAAATAGCATTTGCTATATCGGTTTGCCAGACTATACTAAATCCAAACAATAAAAATATTTCAATTTCAGATCCAGCCGTAATAAGAAAATTGATGGCAATAAATTTGGTAAGTATTTATTAATACTTTATATATAGTTTAAACTAATTTAGATTAAATCGAATTGTATCAAATTATATAGAAAAAATTGGAGAACAGTGATTCTTTTTCTGTTTCAGATTGTAAAGATGAAGCAAGAAACAATGATAGAGATAAATCTGATAAAACTGTATAAAACAATTTATTTAATTTATTGAAATATAATTTTAAATATTTGCAATAAATATATCTAATTATTTAAATATGTTCTAATTGATTAGGAAACAGGCAGTAAACATAGAATTAATTCAAAATATTTCGAAAAAGTATAATTTATATATTAATATGAATTAATTTGAAATAACTTGAAACAATTTAATATTAGTAAATTATTTTATATATATGTTAATAAAAGACAAAGAGTTGGTAAATATTTTGCAAATTAAAACTTTATCTAATTGGCATTATAGCATTATAATGTGAATAGTTGCGATTTTAATATTTAAACTCAAAATTACCAAAGTCGTTGATTTAGATGTGGAAAAAGTCCAAGAAGCCGAAAAAGAACCGGATAAAGAAGAAATTGAGAAAGATATGGATAAATATGAGAAAAATACAGATACTGATAAGTAAAAGTTTTTTGTTTTGTTTCTTTATATATGAATAATGCTGCGTTTTTTTTTTATATATATTTCTTTAATTTAGGATTATCAAGAATTTTTTTTTTATATATTTTATATGTAATATTTTTAAATAAAATAAATAAAATTTAGTTTAATAAATTTAGTATATTTTAATTAATTCGAATTACTGCGAATAAATTATAAATTTTAATTTTTAAATATATTTATATATATATAATTTGCTTTTTATATAAAAATTTCGAACTATTTTGAATTAAATCATTTCTATTCGATGAAATTAAAATAGTGCGAATTTATCATTTTCGTATATTTAATATAAAGGTTTCATTATTTATATCACTATTTTACATCTGTTTATTTCGCATGCTTGCGAATTATTTTGAATTAATGCGAAATAATTTTTGTAATATTGCGTAATTGATAATTTCAAAAGATTTCACATCGTTTCAAAATTCTTGCACAAGATTTTGGTCTGTAATAACTTATATAAGATTATGGTTATATATTTTGCTGATGTATAAATAATACAAAAAATCATCTATCTTGTGATTCTATAAATAGATTTTAGTTATTTTTGGCTTGCTAGATGAAATCTTCTTTTGAGAGAATTATTTTGGTAGTTAAATCATCTAAATAGGCCTAGTAGATTAAAAGTTATTCAAATTTAAAGATTTTATTATTATATACTATAATTTTTTTTTATTTTTTTTTATTTTTTTAAAATTCGGCAGTCATGCTATAATTTATTAGGCTTTGTACAACTCATCTAAAATATGTAAAATTTTGCAACTAGGATTTACGATAGAATCCAGTGAGTGATAAACTCTAAACAAGTCGGCAGATAGCATATAAGAACTATTTTTAAACGACAAGTGCCTTACCTATTCCACCTAGCGCTTTATAACTAACCTGGTTACCAACTTGGTACCTATGTTTGACCTGCTATAGCAAGATTTCCCTCCTTCCAGACCTCTCCTGCAATTGGATTGACCCAGCTCTCAACAGTGGACCTTGCTGCTCATCATGACCACCTCTTTCTTCTTTCAGACCTTTTCCACCTAAGTCCGACAATATAATTAAACCCTTATTCATATATAAAAGTAAAAAAAAAATAAAGCCATGTTTACGAAAGATATAAACATTTTAGAAAAAAAAACACTTCATAGTAAGAAAAAAAAACTTTTCAACAAATTCTAAAAAAGTCTAACATAAATGAACAAAGATGAAAAAAGCAAAAAAAAAGAAAGATAGCCATGACACACTATTATAGCCCATGCTAGGCATAAAGATAAAAATTATATAATAATTGCAACTAATAAGTAGTTCTATTAATGTTGACTGGAATATTTTTTTCTTGTTTATTGTTAGTGTTACGAGAAAAAGGTAGCGCTCAACCAAAACATAATGCGTTTGGGCGTTTGCTACGCGTATGAAATACAAGTAAGAACAACTAAACAAATGGCGTTTGTGGGTTTAGCGCCTATGGAATCAAAACTTCAATCGACTAAAAGAATAATTTCTTCAAATGAAATGTCAAAACCTTCATTAATACCGATTGTGGATGTGGTATTCGAGAATTAGTGTGTGAAATTTTAGATCAAACGGATGAAAACTCGTGACGATATCGAATTTTTACGTTACACTTCCAATAGACGTTTTGGTGTATAAAAAATTTTTTTAAAAGCCTAACCAAAAAAAGCAACACTTTCATAGTAATCTGACTCAGGTCGATTTCAATTATAAACCCGACATCAGTAATAAGTAAGATGGTGATTTCCGAAAGACGATTTTGGGGTGCAAAATTTTTTTATTATATAAAAAAGCACCCTATTGGGGATGCAAAAGTTTTTTTACTAAATTAAAAAGAACCCTATAGGGGATGGTGGTTTTTGAATGCCGGGTGGTGGTTTTTTTCACTAATTAAAATGGGGTATGGTGGTTTTTGAATGCCGGGTAATTGACAATTGATCAACACAAAAATGTTTATTTTTTTTAATTTTTTTTTAACGCCCATTTTTTTTTTAGTTTTTCCGTTACGATAGCCCAAACTTCAACGTGATTTTTGACAACTTTCTCACAAGCAAATCACCTTTACGCTTCTAAGTAAACTTGTTGATAGGATATCGGACCATTCGAATCCCAATTTTTAGCCTTTTTGGTTGAATATCCGTGGATATATTCGCGATTTTCTCTTTCATTTGTTCATACGTTTCGCAAAATTGCCGACGGATTTCAATCGATCAGAAGACCATTTTCTTCAAATGAAGCGTCAGAATCTTCAATAATACCGATTGTGGGTATGGTTTTCAAGAATTTGCCTGTGAAATTTCAGTTCAAACGGATGAAAACTCGTGACGATATCGAATTTTTACGTTTCAGTTTAATTAGACGTTCTCCATTTTTTAAAAAATTATTATCGTATTTAATTTATTTTTACATAATAAAAAAATGTCCCTGAGAATTCTGTCGAATTCTCTATATTAAAAAATGTATTTATTTTTTAAATATCAAATAGAGCAATAAATTGTATTTTTTATATATAGATCAGTTGTGAAAAATATATAGTAATTTTATATACAGCTCCCTATATAAGTTTCCTATAGGGAGCTGTCCTCAGGGACACTTTTTTGGAGACTGTGATCGACGCGTCAAATCCCTGAGGAAAGGGGGGCAAAAACCAAGACAAACAATGAAATTGTTTCGTATGCGGGCTTTTGCCCGTGGAAAGGCTGTAAAAAAGCATGAAAATCCAGAACATGTTCGATTTGTAAAAATCAGACGATTTTTTTTTTTCATAGAATTTACTATTAACTCAGGGACAGTTTTTTTTTTCATATGAACATCTCTCAACGTTCAGGGACACTTTTTTAGCATATTCTATTTAATGAAAAAAAAACAATTGCGTACTTTGTTTAAAGAAAAAAAATTCTCAACATTCAGGGACACTTTTTTTTAGCGTATTTTAGGCCACTCCAATTTAATTTTCTGTTTAACATAACATAAAGGTCGCTTATGAGAGTGGGGGGGAGGGCATTAAAAAAAAACAAAAATAAAAAAATACAGCAATTCTATTGGCTGTAAAAAATGTAAAAATACAAAAAGTTAATACTGCAATTTGATTGGTCAAAATTGTGTTTTTTTTACATACAAAATTTTAAAAAATAGAGGGGGGGGGGGTTATGTTAAACAGAGAATCAAATTGGTCTGGCCTTATTTAAAAAAAAAAAAAAATTTGCATACTTTGTTTAAAGAAAAAAACACAACATCATATTATGTTACAGATTTTAAAAAAAACAATAATATATACCATTTTTTAAAAAAACAAATAATAAAAATATGCTATTTTTTTAAAAAAGTATAAATATCAAAGCTATTCTTTTTTTTTTTTAATATCAGAAAATGAAATCACAATATCGACTACAAGCTAAACAATTATTGTTTAGTTTTGATAGATGTTATTTTGATCCTGAGGATATTTTACAACACATTAGATTCGTGTTTATAGAAAAAAACATAACTATCTCTTCGTATTATATTAGTACAGATAAACAAAATATCAAAGCATTTGTTATTCTTGACCGTAGAATTAATCTTTCTAATTCTAATTTGTTTGAGTTAGATTTTGGAGAAGTAAGCTACACACCAACCATAGAAAGCTTTCGTTCATTAAAAACTATCAGAAAATACTTCAAGAAAAACAAGAAGAATAGATTTATAACAAATATCAAAGAAATCAACAATGACAAAGAAAAAAGTTTTCAAAAAGCAAAAAACAAACAAAAAAAAAGAATTTGAATTGCATTCGTCTCAATTTTTTTTAACTTATTCGCAATGTCCTTTAACAAAAGAGAAATTGTTAGAATTTTTTGAAAAAATCTTCAGTAAAAGAACTATAATCACAACATATTATCTTAGTAATTATATTATCGTTAGTGAACCACATAGAGATGGTAATTCTCATAAACACGTTTATCTAAAATTAGATAAAAAAATACGTATAAGAAAAGAAACTTTTTTTGATATCAAAACACAAGAATCATTGTATCATCCAAATATTCAAGGAGTTCGTTCGACCAAATCAGTTATTGATTACATCTTAAAGTTTGGAGATTATATTTCAAAATATAAGATTGATAATTTAAAAGTTGCTCAGACTGTTATTAAAAGAGAGATTGAAGAAGGAAGATATATAACAAACTCAAAGATTGCGCAAGATTATCCATCAACATACACGATCTATGGTAAACGTTTGTTGGATTGGAAAACCAAGATTGAAGAAGAATATTACAAGCATCCAGGTAATCCATTTGTGGAGTTTCACTATGGTGATAAACATTGTGGGAAATCGACATATGTTGAAAAATTTTCAGATAAAGAGGCATACAGATTAGAAAATCATTGGTTTGACGGGTATAATGCTCAAAAGATTCTGGTGATTGATGAGTTTAACGGTTCACAATTACAGTATACCACATTATTAAAAATCTTATCAGGACAGCAACAAAGATTGGAAATAAAGGGTTCTAAAGAATTAAGCCATATCAAACATGTTATTATCACAAGTAATTTTGATATTAAATCTCTATATCAAAATTTAGAATATAATAAAGATCAATTAGGATGGCGAATCGATGCGATTTGGCGTTATCAAAAATCAGATAATGGATTCTCAGAACGTAAATGTGAAAAGAATCCATATCTGGAACAGCAACATCGTAAATATCTTAAGCAAATTGAATATCATAAATATTTTAAAGAAAATTGGGATTTATTAGAAGATAATTTAAGTGTAACAAAAAATATTTTTCATAAAAACTATTCAACTTTAGTATTTGATATGAGTTTGCGAGGTGGTGAATTGGATGATAATGATTTACCAATTCAAGAAATAGCACTAGAATTATCACTAGAAAAAGAAAAACAAAATCAAAATAAGAGAAAAAGAGAAAGCATTTCATCTGTAGAATCAGACAATAATAATGTAGAAAAAGAAAAAAATTGTTAAACTATTTTTAATATAATAAAATATTTTTTTTAAAAAAATCTATGTTGTGTTCCATAATTCAGTTAAACTTTTGTCCAATAATTTAGTCTTGCCTTTATTCTTTTTCAAATTATATTCTGTAAATTTTATCTTTAATTCTTTGATTTTATTTTTCAATTTGCTAATATCTTTTTTGTATTCTTCTATTTCTTTTCTTAAACGTACAATTTCTTGGTCTTTGTATTTCGGCGAATAGATAACACATTGCAGATTTTTTTCAAAACATTTAACACAAATATTAGGATTATCTTTCATTTTAACACATTTTCTTCTATGTTTTCGGCATCTTAGACATGAGGTATTTAATGTTTTTGTTTTATCAACCATCAGGAAAATTGTTAATTTTAATAAAATCTTAAGCAAAACTCAGGAATTTATATATTTTTAACTTTATTAAAATTTTGATATGTATTAGCCGTATTTTTAATAATAAAAACACGTTGCCCGAGTCGAACCAACGTGGAGGTTACATATCGCTTGACTCAAAAAAACAGAAATGAAGAGCCAAGATTTCAGGGGAGATCTGGGTCAGTCCCCAAGCTTTCTGTGACCCGAAAGCAGCAAACCGTTAAAGGTTTTGAGATTTTTTACGTCTCGTTCCCTGTGAAGAGAAGCCGCCAAGACCTTTCTTTACGCTCATCCATTTTAAAAAAAGCTTGACTTTTGTAGTTCAGACGCAGCTGCCAAAAGCCTAAAACAGTGCGTTGAGTCGCATCTCATCATTATGACCCTGAGGATTCAACCGGTGAATCCATGTAGTATGGCCCGAGATGACTAACAATTGAGAATGCTTTTTTACTCTCTACTGTAGAAAAAAAGCTTAAAACACATCCGTTCCTCGAGACATTCCCGAGGTGCGTTAAACGCAAAACACTAAATTTTTCGTTCGCTCTCGAGGTGGAAAGCATGGCCAAAACTTAATAACAACCATCTGAAGCATAAAGATTTGACCGTTTTCGCCCGTGTCAACCAGAAAAACATGAGTACACTTCACCGTACAGACGGTTATCTCATGCGTAATTTCGCTGCCACACATCGTGTTCATCTCTCGCAAGAGACTACGCTTCTCCCTGTTCGGATATTAAGATGCGGGTATTCTCCACCGTCTCTCTGATAAAACCACGGACGAAAGGGTGAAAAACGTTAGATTGGGCGCAATCGTCAACTATTTGTACTGTGTCGATCATCAATGAGTCACATCCGCTTACGTAATCGCACATGCATCACTATCGGAATACCGAATCCGGATTCATACAAATACGCAATCATGCTGATCATTTTTTACGTTCAATCACATGCTTTATTTACAAAAAATTAAATATATAATACAAATATTTACAAAAAATACGTTAAAATACAAGATTATTTTCAGCGTATTCTAGCAGGTCATCATAACTTAAGAGGTAAATATGAGTAAAATTCTTGTTTAAAACTCCTATCGTATACTCAAAATCCTCCTCATATTGCTTTCTCCTCCAGAGCAATAAATCAAAAGCACCCGCTTTACTGTAGAACCACATCGCATCATGAAAGAAATTATGGTAACTACGTATATGTGCATCCAAAAATGAAAAGTACATCTTGAACCTCTCATACTTTTCAGGGGTTTCTC